TTCCCAACCCAGAGTTGGCAACCCTAAGAACTACAGTCCCAAAGTTGCTTCGTTAGGAACCACGGTTTCAAAACTGGTTTGGGATTGGTTTGCATGTTCGAATGTAGACAGCTCGTTGTCTCTTCTTTTTGGGTTTTCAAAATTTGGCCAAGACAGGTAATCTCCATGACTGTCTTATCCCCCCCAGCTCCGTGCCGTGTAACATTGGACCCTGCCACCAACCATCCTAACCTGGTGCTCTCCAAGGACCTCGACGCTGTACATTTGGTCGAAAACCTGGAGGAGGAAGTTCCCGACGGGCCCGAGAGGTTCAGCAAGTCTGTATGCGTGCTGGGTGCGCAGGGTTTTACGTCAGGGCGCCATTACTGGGAAGTGGGAGTGGGCAACAAAACCAGCTGGGACATTGGTGTGGCCAAGGAATCGGTCAACAGGAAGGAAGCCAAAGTGACGGTCAAGCCCAGCAATGGATTCTGGGCCATCTGGCTGCGGAATGGCAGTGAATACAAGGCGCTTGATTCTCCCTCTAAGCAGCTGGCCCTCAAGACCAAACCTCTGAAAGTGGGGGTCTACCTGGATTACGAAGGGGGACAGGTCTCTTTCTACAACGCTGACACCATGGCCCACATCTTCACCTTTTCTGATGCCTTCTCCGAGTGCCTCTACCCCATGTTCAGCCCCGGGTTCAATAAGGACGGACTAAATGCTGAACCCCTCCGCCTCCTGTCCCCATTGCCATAGCCAGGACTGTGTGTAGGATTAACTATTCCTACCGTTGCTTGAGTTCCAGCTGCGAATGACTGATTTTTTGACATAGCCATTGAAGCCAACTGGCTATGGACCTGATTGGCACCTGGAAGAGGGAGGGTGTGGAGTTCCATGTAACCTGCTCTGAGCAAGGAGTGGGCTGTGTGTATAATGAATAAGTGAACTTGATTCCACCCCTCTGAATTCTATTAGAAGTGACTCGCTGTGGTCTCAGTTTCTTGGACTCTGGAGTGTGTACCAATCTTGTTCTGGGGCCACAATTGCCTATGCTGGCTGGTGTTTTCCGATTAATCTTCCTAAACCATGAATATTTCCATGCACAGACTTCTTTGTGATAATGGTTATCTCTCTTTACGGTCTGGTGAGAGCCAAGACCTCCTACTCTATCCTCCGTCTAAATACTGATTTATATATTTTTACTGGAGAACTATATTCCAGGAACTGATTCTCCCCTAATTCCCCTCCCCCAGGTGGTCCATCAGTGAACATATTCTATTTACTTTTGCATGCAAATAACAATTCGTACAATAAAACGTGATCCACACTGACTCCGTTTTTCCAAGAACGAGACGGGGGTTCATTC